AACGGTTTAGCCGCAAACTTCCGTGCCGTATAGCGTGAATAACCCTGTACAATACAAGGAATGACTCCGAATACAAGGAAGGAGGGGAACAAAGAAGGTCCGAAGGAAACCTACCAAAAACAGCAATGGAGTGGATGCCTACCGAAAGAACAACTGTTTCAATCGTGCCCAATGGAGGAAAAGCCCAGAGGTCGTCCGGCGAAGACAAACGCTATAAACCAACATATATGTATCTTTTACTCAGGACTTCTACAGCTTTGGCCACACTTCACGTTTTAGAACCCTGGACCACTTCAGCGGTTTCTCCTGGTTACTGTCTTGGTTATCGAAGTGGTCTTGCGCACCTTCTTGCGTGGCGGCACCTGCTGCTGGGGTCCTGCGCCTGGAACAGGCCCCGACCGCAGGTAGTCTTCCAGGGTTAATGCCTCCCCTGCTTGCTCGCTCCCTTCAAAATGTCCAGAATAAAGTCCACCTTCCACCGTAATCGATGTCCCAACCTCTCCCAGCTGGACACCCTTTTTTTTCGTCGCGTCCCCTGGTGGGTTTTGAAGCAGCATCCCGTCCTGGACGTTGACTGGGCTCATCAACATCTCGGGGCGTCTGAAAGGCTACAGCCCCGCGACATCCTCTAGGCGGAGAAGACTGTGTAGGGGAAAGGGGCGGCGGGCTGTGATACCCGGCCACTTCCTCCGGCATTCCCTCGCCTAAAACAGGACCTTTGAGATGCTGTGGAAAGGTTTCACCGCGCAAGTCACGGCCTCACCCAATAAATCGGATCTCTGCAACATGTCCAGTTGAAGGTTTGGGGAGCCGAAGGGCACCCCTGCGCTGTACACGTCTTCAATACCTTGATCATACAAGGAGAATTGGGGAAAACATTCTGAAAGAGATTTGAAAGAAAGAAAAGCCAGCCAAGTGAGTGACCCAATTAGTTACGTCCGCCCGAGGAAAAACCCTCTGGTGTTTGATATTCTTCCATGCCTCCATAGTCGCCTGCAACCAAGGGAGGTTGATTTGCACAATATACGAACCAGTTGCAATTTACCAAGCAATTCCGCTTCTTGAGCTAGTCGTTGGAACTGCTGCGGCGACGGTGTTTGATAGGCGCCACGTGAGGGCGAAAGAGGAGGCGGAGATTGATAGCCTGCGACTTCCTCCAGCATCCCTCGATCTGTAACAGACGACTTGGAGGTGCTGTCAAACAGATTCACATCAGTAGGTCTTACTGAACAAGTCAGATCTTTGCGACGCATCCAGTTGATGCTCTGGGGAATCAAATGGGGCCCCAGATCGGAACATCTCTTCGATGCCGTGCTCGTCCATGGCAAATTGAGGAGAGTAGGAATAGCCTGAAAGGAATGAGGAGACCAAACTTTCCAGGGTATAGTGGAGTTTAGTTACGTTCTGCTGGGGAAAGCTGCTCGGGGGTTTGGTATCCTGCCATTGCTCCATAATCGCCTGCAATCAAGGAAAGTTCACCTGTTGATTATACAGAATTGTTGCTATTTACCGAGCAGTTCCGCTCCTTCAGCTAGTCGTTGAAATCGCTGCGGCGATGGAGTCCCACAAGGTCCGCATGGGCCTATTAATGTAGCAAATGCTGATTTTGCGAGCAAATTTCAGCAAAAAACTGCTTACCGGGGGAGGGACTTCTATGGCTCCTTTGGGAGGGTGGCGTCGGCTAATAAAAACGCAAAAATTTAGACTCAACCATAATGTCACCTCCCAATCACCTGTCGTGGCTGTTCTACAGCGGGCAAATACCGCTGTTCAGGCGTATGGAACTCAACGGCACCACGATCTCCTCTTGCAGGAGATTTGCGCTCAAGCTGCCCAGCTGCTGGGGGCGACTGTTGCCTAATGGAAAATCTCGCAATGAGCAAACAGGTTTGATTAATAAGTTCCACGTACTTTCTAGGAGTTTTCTGGGGGGAGGCACTCAAGGCTGGACAGCGTTTGGGTGAAAGGGGCGGCGGCGTTTGGTACCCCGCAACTTCCTCCAGCATTCCTTGATCTACAACAGAGAGGTTGAGGAGTTTGGAACAGTTTTCTGCCCGGTCAGTTTCGGGTTACTGAAAAGGTCGGATCTCTGCGATACGCCCAGTTGGTCCGCTCCAGTTTGGGGAGAGTAGGAATATTCTGGAAGGAATTGGATAGAAAAACTTTCAAACTGCCCCCTCGGGCTTAGTTACGTTCTCTGGGGGAAAGATGCTCAGGGGTCTGATAAGCTTCCATCGGCCCATAATCGCCTGCAACCAAAAGCAGTTGATATGCTTAATAATACAAACCAGGCGCATTTACCAAGCAGTTCCACTCCTTCAGCTAGTTGTTGGAATCGTTGCGGCGAGGGAGTCGCACCTAAGAAAATTTTGAATGCACCTTTGATTAAGAAGCCGAAAAGTTTGCTCACCAATGAGTCCACCGGCTTGTTCAGGGGACCTAGCGAGGAACTCCTCAACAATTCGTTGATCTGCTCCTAAACCCGCTGACTCACATTAAGCAATTGCTAACCATAACTAGGAAAATTCAATACCTCCTCCTGAAGGGGTCATTAAATAAGCATTGTTCAACAGGTCGTCATCCAGCAAATCGCCAAAAGGCGAGTCATCCAGGCTGTGGGCAGGGCAGCGCGAAAAGGGGGACGGGCCTAAATTAACTGGAGACGTAAGCTTGTTCAGTTTGAGCTCATCGGGCGGTTGCCAGTTCTGCATAGCTATGCGATCCTGTTCCCTTTCCTCTATATCGGGATATCGTTGCGGAGTGTAGCATATACCTAGACCCACCCAATAAACTTCAAACAAACACTGAGGGTGGTTAGTTTGCAACCTTCTGGCGCCTGTTCGCTTTCCAGCCCAACGCCTCCCGGCGCTTGGAAGGGACTGCCAAAGTCGTAACCAGCCAGATCAACTAGGTCTGGATGGATTGGCTGATCGGCTGGGGCTCTGTAGTACTCTGTGTATACTGGGGGGGTGAATGGAAAGCCTGTGGCCTGGGCCCTAAGGGAGGGTGACGTGAAAGACCCGAAAATTTGCAAGGGAAACCACTTACGCTTGACCTCTGGGCGTGTATTGAGTGCACGGCCCTTGAGGCCTAATTCGGGGACGGGGCAAGTCTAAAAAACCAAAGTGAAAAGTGAAACCAAACTAGCCAAACTGCTGGCAACCTTCGGGCAGTGAATCGTCCATAACGCCATAAGCTTCGTCCTGGGCTCCCTTGCCCAGGTGCTTCTTGTGGGACCTTTTCTGCTCAGGTTGTCTGCGCCGCCTCTTCCTCGCTTCGCGGCCTTCTTTGAACGACCCCTCCTGTATAATAGTAAATTCTTTAGGGAATAGATGTTAAGGCAGGCAATAATAATTCACCTCGGCAAAGCAGGGAAGCAAAGGTTCTTCCTCCTGAATCTCTCCTGTACAGGGCGACCGAGCAATCCGACGTTGGGCTTTAGGCATCACATCTCCGCGAAACGCTAGACCAATTTGGAAGCAGTTGGAGGTTCTGCTTAATAATATTCCTTTGACTTTTACCCGGATGATAATGTGGTCTGGCCATGGTTTCGACCTCCTCCCTCATCAAGTGGGGCGGCACACCAGGCGACGGCAATCTGGAACGGTCTTCACGTTCATACCTGATCAGCTTCTTTTGCCTCTCCTTACCTGTCCTCTTCCTCCATTTCGTCAAAGATTGGAGGAAGAATGTCGTCTAGAAGGAAGGCTTCGTTCGGGTCTTGAGCACCTTCAGGACTCCACTGACACGAAGCGATCTGGGGTTGTCCCGATGGCAAACGTTGTCCAGGGTGTGCACTGAAAGACAATCGTTCATTAGAGTTTGATGCAAATAGGAATGCAACTATGACGCACTAAGGACCAGGTCCGAATTTCGAATGGGGTCTTGGAGGGGAATACGTCACGCCTCCAACCGGATATCTGCGCAAGGGACAGTCAAGCAAACGGAGTGGAGGACATTTGACAAAACTCTACTTACCGCGGTTGCGCTGCTCCCGGACAAACCTAAACGGGGATTTTTGGTGTTAATTGACGAATATAGTAAACAGTGGTCATGAGTAACACTGTGTTGACATGGGTGTCAACACCTTGACACTTAAAAGCAGAGATCCTGAGCAATGAGCAAAGAAGTGGCGTGATACAGGTCGCATAGTCATACGACACCAACCCACTACACATTATGAGTTTGCGGCATCATGACACAATTGCGCTGACACGTTGTATTGGCCGTATCGGATGGGGTGTCTCAACACCTGAACACTCACAGTGTTACCCAGCGCTAGTGAACAGTGTTCTGATGCTATTTACTTGGTCTTCTGCAGCTAAACGTTCCAACTCCTCAAACTCTGCCAATTCCTCTTCTGCAGTCAATTGCCGTGTTTGCCGTTTTCCGCGCTCGTATTGTGGCTAAAATCAGATGGAACATCAAATTAATATTTTAGAATTTTGGTTGAAAGCTCTTGCCTGGTCATCCCTAGCAAAACGTTCCAATTCTTCAAATTCGGCCAATTCTAGCATTTCACGGGCATCAAGTGGAAGTTCGATCTGGTTGTGGGAGAATCAGAAAAAAATTCCTCCATCTCATGGAAGTTTTAAGGATCATATCACTTACTTGATAAGGTTCAGAAGGATCATGAACTGTGGATAACAGAAGAGTGTTTTATCAATATCGAGTAAATTTCAATACAACCGTGAACTACTTACTGTCTTCTTCAGGCCCCTGGAACGTTCCCTCGTAATCTATACAATTAATAGCAGAGTTATTTCCAAAACTATTTGGAGCTTAATAGTCGGACTTACCATAATCGTCTACATATAAATCCACAGGACCACGTTCTGTAGATAATAAATAAATAAATAAATAGTCAGTCAAGTCCTGTATTGATTGCAACCCCAAAAATTTGGAGTAACAATATGAAATCATATACTTGCCGTTATCTTCTTCGATTAAGCCAATAGCTGGATAATGTATGTTTCCGTCAACTGAAAATTAGACACATAAATTGTTTAATTTGCAGAGTTTTCCCTCTTCCGGGGTTTCTCACTGTCTTGTCCTTCCAGCTCTCCAATCTCTGGATATCGAATATCTATATCGCCTAAAAATTAACCGCGCATTAAGATCCTCGATGGCAACAATCAGCTGTTTTATTTACCTTGTCGCTTCCTTCTGGGCCGCATACTTTGGCAACTTGGGTACCTTAGATCTTCGGCTGAAAATATTCAACGGGTTCAAAATGAGGCTACTAGCTAGCGCTGAGTCGCAATTACTCTCATCTTCCTCAAGCGGATGATCCTGAAATCCCTCAAATCGAGGACGGGATACTCTCTTCTTGCTCTTCGCTGCAAAGTGGATCTGGTGCTTGAGCAGCTGTTCCTTCAATGCCACCACACCTAGATTGCGATCATGTTGACTCTGCTGTTGGCTGCTTACTTCTCCTTACCTGGAGACATTGCATCGGCTTGAGCTGCAGCTCGTTTAGCACTGTGCCGCTTGGCGCGAGACTTTTCCTTTTTCGCCTTTTCTTGCGCTTCCTTTTTCAACTGAGCCTGCCAAACGAACTTCAATCTAAACCTTAATAGTGCAACGCAAACTGACCTCTTTGGCTGCCTGATCTCTGGCCAATTTCTCCTTCCTCAACTGCGACGACTTGGTCTCTCTTAGTGGTTTTGTGGACGTTGATCTGCGTTGAGGCAGTTGACTGCGTGCTTCTGGTGCCATTCCTTCTCCGCATGGTGCCGCTCCACAAGGCGTCGACGGAACAGCACTCCTTCCTCCTGGTGCTGCTGGCGCTCGAGGAAGCGAACTGCCTGGAGCAACTGGAATGGATCGTCCTGGTGCCCGGGGTATGGATGTTGGCCTTGATCGTGCTCCAGAGGGAACTGGAATGGAACGGCCTGCACATGGAATACCTGCAGCTCTTGGAGCAAAGCCGGTGGCCTTCATGGAAAGTTAAAGGTTTACACGCGCGCCTGCTGCTGTGCCACTTTACTATCCATACCCTAATGGTTTTAATCAGTGAATCTGTCCCAGCCAGTATATCTGGATAGTAGTTTTGTTGCTCCTCAAATTCCGGTGGAGGGCTCAAGTCCATTAAACCCCCCTCGTAGTCGAAGGCTGTGCCAAACTGGGTTAACGCAGAATTGTTTACTGCACCGCAATGCTTGAACGGGATCAAAACTTACTTGCCAAGCAATATCCTCAAACGCCTGGTCATCTAAGTGCTCTTCCAAGTTCCCTGCCTCAGCAGCGTCCACGAACCTCTTCGATCTGGCAAGCGAGTCTTGAGGCACCAAGTCGGCCTGATCTACGGCTTGTCGCGCGCAAACCGAATGAAGAGCTGGAGGGAAGTCTTCTGGTGGCACTTGAATATTGGCTCGCAAATGCTACATTAAATCATCAAACGGATGAGTTTGCTTGCATATTGCCAGTCCCAAGCACGTACCGCCTCCAAGTCTTCCGTATAGGTGGGGAACGGTTCCAACGGGCGTTCTGGTCTAGGCGATCTGAATGCCTAAGTGCAATGGTTAGATTATTGAATGCAACGAAAAAACTAAACTTGTCCGATGCACCCCGTAGCGCAACGCGATCACCTGAACTGAGCCCAGTTCACTCGATTGGCTTCGTCGCTGTGCTTAGGAGTGAGAGAAATCAGACGGTCCTTGTCGCGCCAGCCCGCCATACGAGGGCTGTGGCAAAATAAGTCAAATATCAAGGAGGAAGTACCTTTGAAGGCATGTAGCCGTGCTTAGGCTTCCGGCTGGCGCGGTATGAGCTGGGCGGCTTATCATAGTACTTGTCGAAAGTTTCGAGATCTTGGTCGAAAAGTAAATTCTGTCTATAGGCGGCATCTGACTCGAATTCCGGAATCTGCGGCATCTGGCTAATCGCCCTACAACTTTCTCTGACTGGGACCCGACCTGGGCCTGCATGAAAATGCCAGAAAACGTAAGAATAATCGAACTTGGGTGTGCCTAAGCAAGGCACCTCGTCCAAAAGCAGTTTGATGCGACATTCCCGAATGGTCTCTATCGGGAGCAAACCGATGTCTTCTTAGCTCGGGCATTGTCGGAAGTCCTTCTGGGGTTCTCGGACTGCAGACTGTTCCCTTAGGAAAGTACATTTGACCTTCTTGGAGGATCGGAGGTCGGTTATCGGGCGACATGTCCTCCGGCCAAGGTTCGTCCTCTACGCAAGAAAATAGCAGTCTGCGTGCCCTGAATCTCTGAACAGCCACCTTAAACTTACCTATTAAGGGCGGGCCCTGATATCGAAAATCCTCCTGCAAAAAACATTACCTCCAAGAGTTATATGTATATAAGTTTTTAGCAGCAAACCTCACCAGCTTTCCATGCGGGGTGACCCATGGAGACTGAATAATTGGCGACTCTTCAGCCGGTGGCAATCTTGGAGTTTTCCCTACAAAATTTAAACCTCACTAACAACACTAATAGATCAGTACCGGTACCTTTTTCATCAAACAGTCGCCTACTCCGGATTTTGCGGTCGCCTCTCAGGGGCGTTTCCAGGCCTCCTCCACAAGGAACTCTCTGAGCGGGAGCCGGCGAGCAAGGCTCCGGAACCTCTCTGTCTTCAGTCGGAGTCTGGAAAGATGCGGTTCAAATAAAAGACAGTTAGATGGAACTTTCGGACTAGTTACTCTCGGTGAAGGAGGTGCTTTGCCCTTTTTTATCAGCAACTTGGGAGGAGGGAAGCGTTGAGGTTGAGCTGGCGCTGGCGATGGGCTAAAGTCCGAGTCGTAGACTTCAGGTGAAAAGCCCGTGCGCCTGAACATGCCCGTTATAACTGAGACCTCACGAGAGGGAACGTTACCTTCTAGATGGGCCGGACATTCCTTCGGGAGTTGACCATACAGGCGAAGGCGGCCGTTGGGGCGTGAGCTATATTTTAAAAAAGTGCCAAACGAGTGATATTTTTTATAGTCCAACTTACCGGAGGAGGCGTCGCCGGGTATTTGCCTTTCAGCTCATTTCTCCTTACTCTCTCTGGTTGACTAAGTCCGGTGGGCCTATGAACAGTTGACCTCTGAACAAATATTTGAAAATTGCACAACTTACATTCCAGATGCACAGGGAACGCTGGCAAATTGCCCGGGTTGAGCCTAGAATTAGTGAAAGTTAATTTGAGGGTATTAAATGAGGTTCCGCTACTTACCGCAGGACTATCCTGCATCAATCGCTCGTATTGTCTTTGGGCACGTTCTGGAAAATTTAGGTAAAACCTCAAAGTAGTTGGGATTAAAAAACTCTACCGTGAACCCTTCTGGCTTCGCCAGGAGATGAGGGAAACTGCGGGCGCGGTGGGCCAGCGCATGGAGCCTCCCCTTCAACGATATCAGCCTCCCTTTCCAGGGCCTCAAACTCTGCTAGGTCATCTGTGAGTGCACGCTCATGTACGCACTTAACTATGCATAAATAAGACGTACCTGGGGAGCTCCTTTTGTGCTGGTGGTGTCTTCGCTTCGACCTGGACCGCTTCCTTCTAGGGCTGCGCGGGTCCTGAAATGATCTCCGAATTTTCGAACCACGCAAAGATTTGCACCCGAGCTCAAACCTGAGAGTCGCACACTTCGCAAGGCTCTGGAGGTGGGGCTGGCGGCTCACACGGCTCACAAGCATCCTCCCCATCATCGAACAGCCTCCTTGGCTGCATTTTACCTCCACGTCCCCGTCCAGCTGGAGGAGGACGTCGCCTGGCGGGCGTCCTAGTAGGATCTTTCGGGGTAGGAGGCAGCATGTCGAAATCGGGCGCCTCGACGTCCGCCAGACCCTCAAACGGACTCTCGGGCGGTATGTCTTCGAAAGTAGGCGCCCCCACATCGTCCAACGGCGTCCCTTGAGGAGAACAAGCGAAGACATCACGCGGCGTGGTGTACAAAGGTGGGCGTTCCCTGGGTCCAAACTGGACTGGCACAGGCGTTTGATACGAGGCAGGTCGCTCGGCTGGCCCAAACATTAGAGGGGGAGGAGTGGAATACCATCCGGGTCGGTTGATTGGTCGTTGCGGCCTAGGAGTTAAAGGAGAGGAGACGCCGGGTAGAAAGGAGGGCGGGGGAGTTTGCACGGGCGACGGCGAAGGTATGCGCCCTGAAAAACTTTAGGGGTAAAGGAAATTCAACTAGTCAAGAAAACATCAACACCGATTTCGGTCATTGGTCGCTCCGCTGGTCTTGGAGGAGATTGTTGTCGTGGAGGAGATTGTTGTCGTGAAGGAGATTGTTGTCGTGGAGGAGATTGTTGTCGTGGAGGAGATTGTTGTCGTGGGGGAGATGGTGAGCGAGCAGGCGAAGCTTGTCTTAACGATGTAGATTCATGCCGTCGGCTTTCTTCTATAAGGGTTTGAAATACAGTTCACATTGCATTTTTGCTTGCTATAAGTATACAGGGTGTTTTAATGATTATTTAAGTGCTTTCAGATGCAAAGTAGCCTAAACGA